CCTTCCTGGAACCTGGGCTCCTCCTGTTCTGTTACTGTCCCCGTACCAACCTGTGAGCTTCCTTGAGGTGAAGACTTGTTCATTTATTAACAAATAACGAGCACTACAGTGAGCCCAACACTTTTTAAAAAAATTGTGATGAAATTCACATAACTTAAAATTAACCATTTGACAGTGAACAATTCAAGTGGCATTTAGTACATTTGAAGTGTGCACAGCCACCACCCCTGTCTTGTTTCAATGCATTTTCATTGCCCCAAATTACATCCTGGCTCCAGGATGAAGAAAAAGTTTTGGAGGTGGATAGTGGTTGGTAATGGGCCTACAATAGTGTGAATGTACTTAATGCCACTGAACTGTACACTTAAAAATGGTTATAATGCTCAGAGGATTTTTAGCTTAGTAAAAATTCTCTGTATGATACCATAAGGATGGATATATATCAGTATACGTTTATCCAAATCCATAGAATGTACAACACCAAGAGTGAACCCTAATGTAAACTGCATACCGTGAGTGATAATGCTGTGTCAGTGCAAATTCATCAGTGATAACAAATGTGTCACTCTGGTGGGGACGTTGATAATGAGGGAGGCTGTGCATGTGTGGGGAGGGGGGTATATGGGAATTCTCTGTACCTTCCCCTAAATTCTGCTGTGAACTTTAAACTGCTTTAAAAACATAAGATCTAATTTAAAAAAGCGGTTATAGTGGTAAATTTTATGCTGGGTATATGTTACCACGAAAACCAAAAACCCATACCCACTAAGCCATTACTCCCCATCCTCCCCCGCCCCCCTTTGGCAACCACCCTGGCACTGTTCTGTGTTTTATTCATCATTGTACGCTTAGCCCCTAACATAGTAGTTGCTAAATAAAACTTGGTTGAATGAATGAAAGGAGCTTTTACTTTAACCCTGATTTGTCTTTGTATACCTCTTCAATAGCTATATAATGAGAAAAGTTATCTTTAAGGAAACCTCTTTTAATTGTTTCACTAGAATTTATTTTAGGGTTTCTATTTCTCTACTAATAGCTGCATAAAAATGCCTCTTAAACCAAAGCTACTTTTGTAGTTTACCTGCCCATCTTGGTTATTTTCAGTTGACATGTTGGGCCTATAATGGTGGTCCCTGGTCTGTACCTGGTCGTGTCTGTTGGATACATTCAAGATCAAAGAGTTATTGCATCTTTCAAATACACGTAGTGATGGTCAAATATATACCTTTTCTTACAATGTTAACATTTTTGATTACTTACTGTTTATTTTATGAAGGAGAAAGAAAATGTAACCATCTTTTCAGAAATTAACGTTCTTAACCCTACGTCTTCCTTGAAATATAACTGCCTTGTTCGTTCTTTTCTCTATGCTCACAACTCACAAAATCGTGTTCTTCCCTGTTACTCTATAATTTATAAAATCGGATTGCAGTTGGCTTGGGTAGAATTTACTTAAGCATAGTTGAGCCTTTATATTTTCCTTCTGGCATGGACAAAAGCATCATTAATTATGAATATGAATTCCTTTTGCAAAATGACAAGATTGAACATTTCCTCATGCCAGCATCCCAGCTGTCTCATTTTGATGCTCAACAAAGACTTTTTAGAGGTTGTTTTTAATGGCCATGGTATCAGATATTAAAAAAAATAAAAAATAAAACTAAAAAGAATGCAAAGTAGCTTACAGTTCGTTTGTCTAGAAAAAAAAAACATAATGAAAGGTTTTTGTGTAACTGGCCATTTCTACTCTTGTGATGCATTTGTGGTCTCAAAGTTTTGGCCATGGCTACAAACCAAAGGATCGTTTCTTCTCTTGAAAAGTGTTCTGCTGTTGACAGAAACAAAATTCCATTTGTTCAGATAGATGATCAGTCCTTGAGAATCCTAAGGCTTAGGTCACCTTTTTGTTTTCCAAAGAGCTAAAGCTCACTCTTGGTTTGGTGATGGCGATGGCAGTGGTGTCAGTAGCCACCGAGAGCTGAGCCCTCACTGGGTAGTCACTGATCCATGACGGCCTCTCTGCAAACAGGGGGTAGCTCCTGTTATTACCCCTGCAAGAGGTGAACTGGGGTCTGGTTCCAGAGTCTTGAGGTTTTTAGCCACCATATTCTATTGTCTCACTCTTGAGTATGTGTCTGCTCAGCCATCGGTTGACCATCTCAGTAAGATAGTTTCTGATGTTCTCACTTGCCCTGCATCCCGTGGTATTTGCTGCCAGAGAAGTTGGCCCAGATATGGCAGTGGGTTCCTCTGTGCTGGAACCCTGGGAAGAGATTGTCCCGCCTTTGGCCTCCAGCTGGGGTTTTCTAGTCTGGAGATGGGCCTGTATTGTTGCATTCCTTTCCAGGCTGTCAGATAAACCAGTCTTTTTGGGATTTCCCTCTTAAGTTTAGAGCCCAAGGCCCACTGCGCGCGCGTGCACTGGTATTTGGTAATATATATGAATGTTGAAAGACTGGGTTTCTGTTCCCAGTTCCTTGGGTGGGGATGTTTAATGCCACTATTCCCCTTTTATTTTTAAATTAAAAAAATTTTTTTTTGAATTTTGGACCTCTTCCTTTTTAACCAAAGACATTTGGGTGCAAGAAACTTTATTATTATTATTAGTTTGCTTCTTTTAAGTGAACGTCCTGTAGCATTAAACACAAGAACATCAGGCTTAAGCCCCATGGAAATAAAATGGGGCCAGATGGTTCAATGTACTGTTGATTTACTACCTGGAAAACATCAGGAGAGAGGGGCCAAGATGGTGAAAAGGTCATAGGTTGGAGAAAGAAGGGCTGGAATGACCATTTGTCAGTGTTAAAAAGGCAAGACAAAACATTTACCCCTATTTCAAAGCCTATCCATTTTTGTTTTCTTCAAGAATTTGGTTCGGGTTTCGATTTGACTTCAAGAAACCCTCTTGTTTTGTTTGATTGTGTTTAGTATAAATTCAGCTTGAAATGCCATTTCACGGCACTACCTCTAATCACATACTGGTTCTGTGCACACGCACCATAAGGAAAGTGTCCCTGCTATGTCATTGCCCCTCCCTACTTTGTTCCCCTTTAAGTAAAGGGACTGCTGTGGCATTCAGCTGCCCAGAGCTGGCCTTGCAGCAGCCACTGGCCAGGCACCGGCCCTCACCCCTCGCGCTCCATCCGGCCTCCCTGGCTCCAGGCTTCCCTGTGTCTCACGAGGACCAGACTGGCCGTTCCAGCCTCCTCTGCAAATTCTCACCCCACAGGAATTGAGGCTAGGGCCTTCCTGTTCTCTGAGCCTCAAAACCAAGTGCTTCTTGTCCTGGAATGGGGCCTCGATCCCCTGTCTCTCTGCTGCTCCTCGGATCTACTTAAGGATTATTTGCCCTGTGTGAAAAGGCAGCATTGAAGTGTCGCCCTGTCGGTTATGGGTTCCAGCTGCTGTGCCACTGATGGCTGTGTCTCCCCCAGGAAGCTGCAGCAATAGGGCTGAACCCAGCATGCGGGAAGCCACCGAAGACAATGGTGGGCGCACAGGCTGGTAAACAGCTTCCCACCCTGCTCTCACTGCACATGACAGCGACCGCAGAGATCATTTCAGCGTGAAATGTGGACGAGGGGAATGATCCTGGTGCGCACGCTACCTGTTGTTAGAGTGAGAAATGGCACAGCGTGCTGGTTAAGAACCTTTTATTTGGATTGAATCCCAGCTGGCGCTTGTTTTGCAGCGTGGCCTTTGGCAGGTTGCTTTGAACTCTGGGTACCTCAGTTTCCTCATCTGTAAATTGGACTTAATACCAGCACCTGTGTAGGACTGTGGGGCAGAGTCTTTGAGAATGTGTGTTAAGGGTCTAGTTCTGTGCCTGATGTACTCGCCTTCACGTGTCAGCTATTAGCATATAAGGAAAGCTGCTCCCCATCAGTCCACATGACTGTGCCAGGCACTATGCTGTGTACCTGGTATAGATGATATGAATTAACCTGTATAGAAAGTAGTTCTGAGGGAGATGCTGGTGATTTAAACTAAACAGCGGTCAGGTTCCCTCTATCATTGAAACCATTTAAAATATATTTGGGATGGGTACATTTTCATTGTGGATATTTTAAAGATTTACAACACACACACACACACACACACACACACACACACACACACACACACACACACACACACCAACAACAACAACAACCCAAACTGAGCCCAAAGTAAAAGCGGTACCTTTCATGCTTGAAATGGCCCCTCCCACGTAAACCACGCATAAGAGTTCTGTGGCTGGCATGTCTGCTGAGATGCTGAGTGGAAGACCAGTTGCTTCCCTGTGTTGTTTTGGACTCCATGAGACACATTAGACACGCCTGCGGACGGTTCCTAGAGTCAGCTTCCCACCTGGGAGGAAGCTGAGAGCTGTAATCCTCCTTTTTGTTTCTAATGCCGGCAGCTGGGATCCGCTGCATGCCAGGGAAAGCTTCTACTCTGCGCGCTGCCACTTATCCCCAGGTGGCCTTGAATAGATTATTAACTTGCTGAAATGTGATTAAGGAGCTCCTTTCCTGTGGTCTACAGAAACCACCGCTCTGGCCGTGAGGGTCTTTGTGGCCTGGCTTAGTCGTCCTCCCCGGGGAACGAAGACTGGGGTTGAGTAACGAAGGCCTCCCTCTCCCTGCAGCGTGGCTGGCTGTGAGAGCCCCTTGTAGCCTCACCTGCTTTGCTGCGGGGCCGTGCCCTTCATCCATTCCGTAGACACACTGTGCCTGGCACAAAAGAATGCTCTCCAACACGCGTAATGGGTTGTTGAGTTTCTCCGTTAAGAGTACATAGGTGGTCAGTTCCAGGGTGTTCTTTCAAAGCGATGAATATAATATATATTCATATAATATATATGAATATAACAACATACTATTAGTGTAATAGGTATATTATATACTGTTAATACAATAGAAATGCTGTATTGGATCCTGGAAGCTAAGTTCCCTAGTTGTGGCCTGTAAATAACCTTTGTTTTTCCTTCTCATCGTCCTCCCACCTTTATCTTGGAGTAATGCCCCCCTCCCAACATGTCTCCGAGTCGCTCAACTTCCAGCAGCTTCGTTCTTCCCGCTTTTAGCCGAGAGGGGAGGCAGCAGTGGACTGGCAGTGGCTCCCAGAGGACTGATGTCTGGGGGTGACTCATCCCCGTCACCGCCCGGGCTACCTGACGGGCCCTTGCCTGGTACTCCATCTCAACACCCAATTCCTGAGCCAGAGGTTGAGTTGATCCGCTTGGGAGAAGCCCTCCGTTCCAGATGTGGTGGTCTCATCCAGGGACAAAGAAGCTGCCATTTAAAAATGTCTTCCTAGGAACCGTCCATCTTTTGCACGTTAGGTACTGAAAACTGAAGCTCTGATGTGACTCTTTGATTTCCCTGTGTGTCTCCCAGGGCTTAATACATAAATAATGACCAGGAGCACCTGACTTACTATTTTGCTAGATTACTATATTACTAGATACTAAAAAAGAAACGTCCTGAAGAGGACAAGGAAGACGAAGTTCAAAGAATGTCTTGGCAGCTATTGGAGGAGATTTTCATTAAATCCCAAATGAATGGGTTCGTGAAATTAATTCCCCTTTTGAGGGTAACGGTTGGGTTTAGTCCTAGTTAAATCCTGTACAGAGTGTTGTGTGAATTTTCTCCCATTGAGGCATTAGGCAGCTTTCCAAGCTCTTTCTCCTAGACCTTCTCGCAAATGCGTGAGAAGTGTTGAGGTTCTCACAATCTATAAACCTTCTATTGGCATTCTCTGAAGTACATGTTGAGCCTGGATATGAGAGATTTATGAGTCAACTGATACTGTGGGTTTCTACAGCGCATCCAGGTTTTCCACTGTGACCAAATGATGGTTCCTTGGTTCAGCCAACATACTCTGAGCATGTTCCACGGTTAGAGGACAGGGCCGGCTTTTGGAAAGAGCTCCTGAGGAAGATCAGGCAGGGATTTGGGCCCAGCAGGGCAGACTGTCCAGAATGGGAGAGAAGGCATGTCCCTCAATAGCTGTCTCTCAAAGGAGAAAGTGACCATGCCTATGGAAATGGAGGTAGTCTTGAATCTTCCTCGGTGGGCAAAGGAAGAACCTGACCTTTCAAAGAAGGACAGGGAACCATGTAGGACAAGTACTCATTCATCATGCCGAGATTGACTCTAAAAGCCAATAGGTCATTTGTCAGATGGCATCTATTGTCATACTGCTTAACCTTCTCTCTGTAGCAAAAACAGGGAGGGAGGGAGATGGCAGGACGGAGGGAGAGCGGGAACACACAAACCATGCAACCTGGCTTTAGAGGTGAAGAAACTGAACCTGTCGAATCAGGCCCCTGCTTAATCAGTTTTTAGCTCATGGAATGATGAGGCAGGGTTTGGATACGGCGTCTAAAGGACCGGGCAGGTCACATGAATGAATGAATGCAGTCAGGCTGCCAATGGAAAAGCTTGTGCCCTGTCTACAGCAGGCGGTGACACTCTGGCCAGTGTTGTCTTGTTGAAATGTGGGCCTAGATTTTTCGATTTGTAGGAACTGCACTGTCTGATAACGTGTTTGATGATGATGGAAAATTCTATTTCAATTGGATTACTTTAAATGTAAGTGCCACCTGTGACTCATGGTTACCATGTTGGGCAGCACAGTTGTAAACACAGCCAGAACCTGGGCATCATGGGAAACCTTCTGATTTTTGAGTTTGCAGGTTAAATTTGGCTCACGGACTGTCACTTGATCACCTTTATCCAGATAAAGATTCTGAGGGAGCCTTTACAAAGTCCTAATACTTGGACCTTGCTCCCTGATGGTCTAAGTTAACTCATTTGAAGTGGGGCTTGGGAATACGTATTTTCTAAAGCTCCCAAATGGATTCTGAGTGCAACCAGGGTCAGGAACCACCCTGAACATTGGAGGATGACAGCTCAAGATCCTTGTGGATTTTCAAATGCCAAAAAGCCACTACATACAGTGTGCAGTTGCTTTCAGAGTCTACACGTGTTCAGTGAGGATGGCTACTCTACCTCTTAGAGTAGTTGCAAAGATTAAATAAAACCTTTGGTTAGGTGAAAAGAACAAACTTGAGTTGAGATGCAGACACTAGGCTTGATTTAACTAAAGGACTTGTCTGCACAAACCAACCTTGACTCGGGGAGGAAAAACTTTTTCCTGCTACCCTCCTAGGTTCTCCGGCTGGGGCCCTGTAAATTTGAACTGAAAAAAGACAGATTCACAAGAGAAAAGCATACAAATGCATTTAATGCAGGTTTTATATGACATAGGAACCTTCATAAGGAAATGAAGACCCCAAGAAATGGTTAAACCTGAACTGTTTTTTTTAGAAGGTTTGATGAAGAGGGGGAAGTTGTGGGAAGTGGGATATGAGATGGGCTTAAGCTAAGGATAGTTACCGGAGGAAAACAGGTAGCAAGACCTGTTCAGTCAAATCCCTCCCTCAGAGTCCCTCTGTCTTTGGAGATAAGGTGCTCCTTTCCTCCTGGGATGGGGAGGGCGCGTCTCATATCAGGGTCTTAGGGAGAAAGGGAGGTCAGAATCCTTCCTCCACCTGCTGTTTCTCAAATGCCTTCAGTTTAAAATATTGCCTGTGTTCAGGTGGCTTCTTTGGGGGTGGCGTATCCGGATCCCCTTCACCGCTTATGGTGTTCACACCTGGCCTTGGCAAGACTGTAAATCAGCACTTGCCATAGACTGTAGAATTTCTTAATACGTAGTCTCACTTAGGTGTGTTTAAACCTTCGAATGCCAAGGGTCCCCTGAAGTCCCACTCTGGAGCAGAAATGGCAGACACATGACAGACGCTGTGACCTGGGTCTCTAAGATTCCAAAGCCGGTGCCACCCCCAGATTTATACGTTGAAGTGGAATGAAAAGGACAGAAAGGTGAAGGAAGATGGGTGTTTTATAGTTTAAATAGTATCTTAGGCACGCATGTGTGTTTTTCATGCGAAAAGTCAACACCTTGCCTTTGGTGTGTGAAGTTTCATGATGGCGGAAACCAGGTCTGCCTTGTTCGTTGTGTTTCCAGGGGCCCAGTACATTGTAGGAACTCATGAAACCTTTGCTGAATAAGGGGATAAATTAGTGCCTACCAGGCCCTGCACTGAAGTGTCAGGTTTATTTGAGAAAGATGTTTTCATGCTTCTTGTTGTAGAGGATTTGGAGAGGTTAATTAGTTTTCCCAGGGTCAGAGAACTAAACGGCCGAATTAGGATTTTAAAGTCTGGATTGTTCCTATGAGACCGTGCTACTAGCGTTCTTTCCATAAATATGTATGCCAACCCCTAGCTACATCATCTCTGAAAGACATGCAATGGATCAAAGGGGTATCAGTGGGGATCATGGTTTAGGAGGGATCAGCCCCAACCTTGCTCTGCCATACTGAGGCTATCCCCCCAAAAGCTCTTGGGGATCAAAGACCTTTAGGGGAAATGCTATATTTGATCTGCTTTATATCAAGCAGCGTGACCAGTGCTGGACACACAACAGGCATCTAGTGAGTACCTACTGATCTGATTCAGAAAACATAAATAACTATTCTTGTATTTCTCTTTTGACGAGAAGGGAGTGGAACATTTAACTTTTAGAGGTAAGCAGGCACCTTTTAAAATGTGTAGCCCTCTGCCAAGAAATGATTTAAAGGAGTTTTCAAACTTCCTTGGGATTCATGTAACAGAGGTAGGTGCTTTCTTTCTGAAATATACTGTTGTAACGTTGCCCTTGCCTGGTTCTCTTCAGGTTTATACAACCTCTAAACCTCCCTCCCCCATAAAGAAAGAAAGAAAGAAAAAACCTACATACACTGCATCTCCCCAAAGTTAACTTTAATAATTTAAAACAGGATTGTCAGCTGCAGCCTGTGTGCCAAATCCAGCCTGCTCCTGGCCCATGAGCTCAGAATAGTTTTTTAAATAGTTGAAAAAAAATGAAGCGTAATGTTTCATGACATGTAAAAGTTAATGTGAAATGCAAACTTCAGAGTCCATCCATAAAGTTTTATTGGAACACAGCCAGCCTGTTGTTAGGGTTTGGTCTATGGCTAGTTTGGTGCTACAAAGGCAGTGTTGAGTAGTTGTAACAGAGACTGGATGACCCACAAAGCCTATTACTAAAGAGCCCTTTACAGAAAAAGTTGGCCGACCTCTGATTTAAGCCGAAGTAGCTTGGGGGAGGAGAGAGTGGGGACTAAGGTAGAGGTGGAAAATGTTTCCCCTTACCTATTCCCTGCCTTTGGCAAAATGTAAACATTTAAAATGAACCTTTCTTTTAAAAGGGTTTGCCCCCTCCTTCCCGATTTGTATATCTCTGAATTGAGAGTTTTGATTGGAGAAGACAAAAGAAAAAATTAGCAATTTGGTGATAACGGAGGCAGCCAGAGAGAAGGATCTTTCTTACTCCTTTCCCTTCCGTTTTGCACCCTGTGTACCTTTAAAATTTCGAGTAGTCAGTTCTTCTTTTTGCATCACGTGGTGAGCACAGCATGAGAATGTTCATCCGACTGACTTTATTATGTCTCCAGTGAAGAATACCTGACAGGACACAATCAGTAGTGCCAGGTTCCTTTCCTCAGCCTGTGCTGGGTGCCTGTGGTTGGCTGCCTCACAGGGATGCCACTGCCAGGCCTCTGGCCTACGGTGAGGTTGCATTTTGCCCTTTCCAGGAGCCTGTTGTGATTGGGTTCACGTTAGGCTGCATCCGAAGCCGAAAACCTCAGATGAAAAAAGAATTCAAAGGAACTGAGACATGTTTTTCTTGACGACTTAAGACTCATAACATCTACAGGGAGCTGGGTCTTTTTGTTTTGGTGGGGAGTGGCCTGGGAAGCCAAACCATGGCCACATTAACATTCAGGGTGACAATATTAGCCTTGCCATGGCCAAAGTTTAGGTTTGAGTATGTGCTTCCATTGGACCCGACCTGTGCAGGGCGACGGAAGGTCTGTGAGGCTGCCCACCGCTTTTGCTTGAGGATCTCAGCTGGAAGTCTCTGGACAGCAGTGAACGTGTCGAATTGATGACAGTGGGTCTGTACCATGGAAGGTCAGCTGTCCTGAAACCTGAATTAGATGGGGAAGGACTGAACCAGACACGAG